ATGGAGCCCTGCACTATCATGTGAGGGGTGGCCCTTCACAAACCATGAACACTAGTCCCCATTCTGCTCCAGTTAACGCATGCATACTATCTCGGCCAGTGCCATGCTGCTGGTGTGTTGTCTGCACTAGTGCTATATTTTTGTTCCTGCCATAGATAGGCCTATTAGCAATAATGTTTTCTTTCCCTGAGAGAAAAATGAGCTCTGTTAAACAGCTCTCCAGTCCAGCATTCCCAGATAGTTTTCAGAAGCTCCTAACAGACTATTATAATATATTTTATCTATTACAACTTTTGCTTTACATGTGTGTAGGTGTAAACTGACATCAGATTATTTTAGGCATGGTATTATCGTGGGCAGAGCCAGAGAGGCACTGTAATTAGTAGGGCAGAATCTATCTTGTTGGTGCGGTCATGAGATTAAGAAATAGAAAATATAAACCTTCTAGGAAGACTTTAGTGAAATTGGCTTATTATGCCAGATTATAAGTGTTCCTGTAGATCCAAAAGTAATCACTGTAAAGTGGAGGGAGAGAAGTCAGCATTGTTCTAGAAGAGGGGTTCCCAAACTTTTTGACACAGGGACCAGTAAATCCATTCACGAGCTTTTGGAGGACTGGTAGCATTCAATTGCATATTTGCATATCCATTAAGCAAATTCTGAATATGCAAATATATTGGTTCTGGTCCTCCCAAAGCCCCCAGTGCCAGCTTTTGATATAGTCACCCACAATATTCTTGCCAGCAATTTAAGGGAATATGGATTAGATAAATGGACTATAAGAGGGATAGAAAGCTGGCTAGACCAGGGTTTCCCAAACTTTTTACTTTATTTGGAATCTTTTTTTTTTTTTTAGTACTGTTTTTGGCAGCCCAAAAATATAAATGTATATAAAAAATGAATAAATTTTCAGTGTTTCACCCAGCTGCATCCTCTGTCCCGCCAGGGCTTGGGGATCCTGGTGCCACACAGGCACTCCGGGAGCCTGGAACATCCGGCTGCATCCTCCACCTGGCCAGGGCTTGGGGGACCTGGTGCCGCACGGGCACTCTGGGAGGTGGGAGCAGGAGCAGATTGGGGGGTAGGGTATCTGGCTAGGAGGGAGGGTGCAGGGAGGGGACTTGGACCTCCCTGGTCTGGCACCCTCTGGACCTGACTGGTCCCAGATGAGGGATTTTTTTGACTCGGGGAGGTCATTTCACCTCACTGAGCTGCCCACCTCATCTGGTTCCTTGCACCTCCCCCAAAACCATTCCCCACAATCCAAAGGAGTGCAGCATTAGTTTCCTACAGCCCAGCTGAGCTGACCTTCTGTTCCCTATGCCTTCCCCCATCCACCTCAGCCCAGTTGAGCCCCGCACTGGTTCCCTGCATGTCTCCCCCACAGCACAGTACCTCCCTCCAAGCCCCACAGAACTGCTGAGCCCAGCTCTGATTTCCTCTCCCTCCCTTCCTTCCTCCCTCCCCTTGAGTCTTGCCCCGGGTTCCCAGCACCTCCCTTCTCCTGCAGCCAAATTGAGCTCTGAGCTCTGCATCTCCCCCTGCCTTCCCCCTCACCCCGCAGCCCAACCCAGCTCAGCACCCCGCACCTCCCCACTCCTGCAGGCCAGCACCTCTTCCCTACCCTTGAGTCCAGCACTGGGTTCCCACATCTTCCTCCTCCTGCAGCCCAGTTGAGCCCAGCACCCCACCACAGCCCAGCCTGACGTCCCCCCTAGCATGGCGCCCGGGGGCAACTGCTCCCTCTGCTCCCCCCGGCTACGCCTCTGCTGGGAGCCTGGAACATCCAGCAGCATCCTCTTGTCCAGCCCGGCCCAGGGCTTGGGGGACCTGGCGCCACATGGGCACTCTAGGAGCCCGGAACACCCCAGCAGCCACGCTGAGACCCGGCTTTTTTTTTTTTCCCCCGCAGACCAGTATTGGGCTGCGGCCCATAGTTTGGGAAACACTGTTCTAGAGGAATTTGTTACATGTAAAAGGCCATATTTTCTTGGAAACTGAAGTGTTATGTCTGTGTCACACAGGCAACAGCTAAACTAGGAATTTGGGACATGATTCTCAGTTCTCACAGACATATGTGTGCAGAGCTATTGTGCTAAAAATAGAGGGTTACCATACTTGAACTTTAAAAACAAAACAAAAAAAGGACAATCCTGAGAGGGAGTGTATCTGTACCCATATCGACCAACTTATGTTGTATTAATGTGTTGTATAGTATACAACACATTACTACAACATGAATTGGGAAACACATCTATATCTTCTAGTGTAGATGTAGCCACAGGAGTCTGCTGCTGTATACCCTCACCTGAACCATGGCAAGGGAGCCATTCCAGCCTGGCTACATCCCCCCCACTTCTGCTGTTTAATCACGTAACCAGTTAAACATAACGGTTATGTCTACACTGGCATGACTTTGTGCAAGAACACTCTTGCGGAAGAGTTCTTGTGCAAAAACTCTTCCAGAAGAGAGCGTCTACACTGGCATGTGCGTTTGTGCAAGAGCATCCATGCCAGTGTAGATGCTCTCTTGCGCAAGAAAGCTCTGATGGCCATTTTAACCATAGGGCTTTTTTGCGCATGAAATTCGTGTTGCCTGTCTACACTGGCCTCTTGCGCAAGAACAGTTGTGCAAAGGGCTTGTTCCTGAGCGGGAGCATCAGAGTTCTTGTGCAAGAAGTCCTGATTTCATACATTAGAACATCAGTGTACTTGCGCAAGAACATGCGGCCATTGTAGACAGGCAGCAAGTTTTTGCACAAGAGCGGGTAGGCAGGACTCAAGCTAACAGCAACCCCAGTCTTACATAGGAAGGGACTACCGCAAACTCCTCCTGTGCCAGATGCAGGGGAGGGAGCCCCACTGCCCTGGACAAGCTGCAGACTGGGGCCAGGCAGAGGAGGCCCATTCTCCTGTGCTGGAGGCAGAGGCCAGGCAGCAGAACCCTTGCACTCCCACCCCAGACAGGCAGGGGGTGGGGTCTGGGGCTGGCCCATGGAGCCTTTCTCTCCCCCTGATAAACTGGAGGCTTGGCCAGAAAGCCCAGCCCTGCCCTCCCTAGAAATGAGCTGGAGGGCACGTTGGACAGCCCAGTCCTGGCTCACTCCTCAGTGAGGAACAACCAGTAGGAGGGCAGCCCAGCTGCCCCACAAGGGATCAGACAACCCCTCCCAGGAGGTGCAAACAGGGCCCTGGTAAACTCCCCCTACAACCTTTGAGCTTCCTCGTTTGAGAGACCCCTGCCCTGAATGTTGCACCCCCCTTGTCCTGAACCCTCCCACCCTCTTGCCTGAGGCACCTCCCCCCCCCGACTCATACACCTCCCACATATATAGGCCCCTGCCCTGAAGGACCCAAGCAATGTGGGGTAAATCTTCTAGTATATGTATAACCAAGTTAAAGTATTAATGTCTCTTCAGCAGATGCTAGGGATATAAGCGAGTAGTTGACTGCCCCGATAAGCCTTGGCTTATTGGGTAGTTGAGTCAATACTCAACTAGTCGTTCTCCGCCTGCCCGCCTACCTGCCCTTGCTGCCTCTGTCCTGCAGCAGCCTGTCTCCTAGTACATTGAAACAGCAGAGCCTCAGCCAGGGTAGCATATGCCCTTCCCCATCAACACTAACCTGATAATCTACATTTTAAGGTTCTTAACAGATGCCAAATGTTGTTTTTCAAACTAACATTTCAGGAAGAGGAAATGAAATTTTTCCTAGATAAACATTTTCTCACTTCTACAATTACCCACAGAAAGTGCAAGTTAAAATATGCTAAAAGCATCCTTTGAAACATGATTCAGAATTATGCCTTTCATTGCATGTGGGAACATTTGCTGTAGGGAGCCTCACTGAATTTAGTGGGGCTCTGTGCGGATAATGGGAAACTATGTGCAGTCAATTGCAAGATCAAGATCAAACAGTAAGTTTCAGAGCTTTCCAAATGCTTGTATATAAAATAATGTTTTGGTTGCTTAATGGCAATCTTTTGAAAATTGATAATTTCCCCCAGGGCAATAGATTTCTTGGATTTTTTTAATTATTATTATTTAAAAGGGGCGGGGGAAGGGATAGGAAGTGCTGTAAACTACTTAATTAATTAATGCTAAACCCAGCTCTAGGCACATGCACTGTGCCAACATGAGTACAACTTTGGGAGGAGTGTCCAGCATGGTGTTTGTGCTTTAAAATGGTAACACCTGAAAGTGAAGAAGGAACAGGTTTTGATGTATTAAATACATTTGATTAAAGATTTGGAATATAAAATACTCCATGTAAACATATGTTTTACTACTTTGAAACTAAGTTTTAAGGGTTGTAAATGTTTCAGCGATAAGGAAACTAGTGGAACATTAATTTTACATTCCAGTTCCTTCTCTAATGTTTGGAGGCAATATTTACTGCTGTCAAAATGAAACTCTTTGCTGATTTTAATAAAGAGAAATGCCAGGTAGAACATTGGCTTTGCAAATGATCTTCTTAAAGAGAGCTTTGTTTATTAACCTTTTTGTTCTATTTGCATTTGTTCACTAACAAATCATGTTGTGACATGTCATGTTTTTCTGCCTTTACTACTTCGTTGAAATGAGATTAAGAGCTAATTTAAATAAGGCTACAACTGGTGTGTTTGGGGGTGGGAATTTAGCTGTATTATAAAAAGCAGAAAATTGGATCAGGCTTATCTCTTCATTTTGCAAAATGAAGAAATAAGTGGTGAAAAAATAGGTCTTGCAAAATGTTTTACCAAACACCTGAAACATACATTTTACAAAACAAGTACTGTGTATTTTCATTGGTACAAAGTTTATTGAAAAATGTTAGTTAAACCAATGGTAGCATATAACTATAAATAAAATACTAGCAAAAGTCTCAGATGTGAGACTGCCAATCCCTTAACATGGACAGAAACTAACAGGTTAAATGTGTGGGCTGGTTTAAGTAGCAGTGTCCAATAAATTTAAACTCTGTCTCTGACTGACAGTGGGAGCTTTAAGAGGCTGGATCAGATTAGTCTGATCCTTCATGCTTTGTTGAGACTGGGAAGCCATTTTGGAATTCTGCAGTGTGGAATAGAAAATAATGTGCTGTCAACTTGCAAACTTGCCTTGAATTATTTTGCCTGGGACTGCTGGATCTTGAACAGAATGCTGAAGCATATAATCATTCTTAATATATGAAACGGATGACTCTGGATTTTGGATATATAGGTTTGATACCATGCATTTGTTGCTGTTTTTTTGTTAAACTGTAATATAAATAGAAAGATCTGGGAGCTTTATCTAGAAAAATGTAAATTAGTTTTGGAATTACTCGTTTTATTACAAGTTAACCTGCTTAAATACCTGATTCTAGTGAACCTTCAATAGACTATTGTATCTCTTTAATTTAAGAGGCCTGATTATATTCATGTGCAGCAAATTCATTTTTGAGTTTTTTAAATCACTGTCTGAGCTGAAGGTTCCTAGTCTGTAAAATGACTCTACGCATTTTAAGTATGACATGTTTTACAGTCTGTGTACAAACAATGAGCAGACATGTTTGTTGTCTCATTACAACTGAATCTGTAGATATTTTCTGTTCAGCTCCTTTTTATGTTTAAAATGGTCCTTAACTTGAATATATAGCTTTTTATCTATTTAACAAACCAGGCTTTGGTAGTAGTGTTATAGTTTGGCAACTATCAAGTGTATTATAGCACGAATCTTTACATCTCTTAAATTACACTATTTTGTAAATGTTATTGTCCTCCAAGCCTTTTAAAGAAACAGTATATAAATATCATATTTTAAAAGTTATTCTTATCTTTATGAACAAATATTTTGTATTGAGACGAGTTTGATATTTGCTTTAAGCTCTCTGCTTTTCAGCCTGTTTTAAACTGTTAGTTTTGGGGTTATGTGGGAAAGATACTGTAAAAATTAAAGATACGCTCCAAGGAAGTAAATACAAAGTTAATGTTAATAATTACTAGTTTGGGAATTTCAGATGGCTAAATTCTTACTAAATAGGACAATATTAGTATTTAATACTTATTGTGAACAATAGCAGAGTTTAAAGTTTGAAATTACAAGTAGAAACAGTTGACTACTGGGAATTCTTACATTATTAAATATTATAGTAATGAGAGTGCATGGTCCAGTAAAGGTTATTTGGAGTTTATGGTGGTAGCATTTTTTTCTATATGAATAATTTAAATGAATGTGTCTGCTTTCAAGTGTAGAATTAAAGTAGTAGATTGTTTTAAGTAACATTGTCAAATCTTATGCTTATGAACTCTTTGTAATGTGTGAGACCCATTGTCTTACCAAATCTCATTTCCCATTTGTAGTGCATTAACATAGGTTTGCTCTTACAAGGCTGGTGTCTTATATTTTGCTGCTAGTATTTGTCCATTGTCTTTTTCCTCTTAAGACTGTTATTTTCCCTGGTCCTAATGTTAGAGAGGAAGTATTGTCCAGTAGTAAAGACAGTAGCCTGGGAATTGGGAGACATGAGTTCAGTTCCATGCTTCAACACAGACTTCTTGTGTGACCTTGGGAAACTCGCTTAATTTCTCAGCTCCACAAATGGGGTGTTTGTGAGGTTAAAATACTAAGAAAAGATTACTGCACCCAAACATTATTGCAATGGAAATCACATAAGTCACACATGTAAGTTGGGGCTCATTCTAGTCCCTGTTACAGTGAATTCAAGGTGCCATGCATCTGTCATGACAGGTTTATTCTAAAAAGCCAGTACCTATGAGCCTTGTCACCTTCATTTAAAGCAGGGACGGGGAACCTTTTTTTGGGTGAAGGGCCACTAACCCCCAGAAAAATCAATCAGGGACCACAGAAATGAGAAGGAACCCCTCCCTCCCACTGACTTGGTCCCTGACTGAGAAGCATGAAAACTCTCCCACAGGAAAACATTCCCTTTGCACACCAGAGCCTGGGGGGGGAGGGGGGGAGGCAAGGCTAGAAGATTTTGGGGGCTCCCCTTCTTCCCCCACCCCGGGCTAGGCAGAGTCTGTGGGTTGGATCAGGCTCTGGCTTGCCTGACTCGTGCCTGTGAGGCTCGGGGCTCCTTCCCTGCAGCAGGGAGCCAGCACTGGCACTCCAGCCCCCTAGGAGCTGTGGGGCTGGAATGTCCGCATAGGGGGGAAGCGGATCCAGGCAATCTGGAGTCCGTATCCAGCCCTTGGGCCTTAGGTTCCCACCACTGATTTAAAGGAAGGGGTCAAAAAAGTCAAGGGGGGACCGGAGCTTGGACAGCCTCCACCGGCCTTTGGTCAAGGTGGGGGGCAGCTTCATGTTCCTGTAAGGGGCAGGGCCTCAGGTGGAAGGGACAGGGTTGGGGCAGCCAGCTCTCCATAATACCCAGAGTGTGGTGCACCCCTTTCCTCCTTCTCCATGAATTTAAAGGGCCTGGGGCTCTGGCTGCTTCAGTAGCAGTAATGGCAGCTGGGAACCTTGGGCCCCTTTGAATTGCCAGGCTCTAGGATAACTGCCCTGCTTGTCACC